AAGAAATAAAGTACGGTAAATTCTACAAAAAATTCCAACGAATATACTGTTTGTCCCAATTTGAAGAACCAGTGCAAATCTTTCATCATCTTTTGGTGATGCTAACTTGGTTAAAGAAAAGCTTGTCGCATGTCTGGCCAGAAGTCGGAATGTACGCCAAAATTAAATTAAAAAGCCAAATAATTCGTCAGCGACTGCTACCAAGTAGCTGACATCCTACTGCCATCGACCTCTGGTGGTCAGGGTGAGTACTAAAAATTTCAGGTGAACGAAAATGTCACTTCTGTGCTTCTATGGGCTTTGTATTTTTTGACAAAACTGCGAAGACAATTATTGCACCATCTGTCAACATGTATGGAAAATTGGGTCAATCTCATTTTTTGCGTCGAAAGTTTTTGAAAAAACAAAAGCGAATCCGTAAAGACATCAGGCTTTCAATGCATTTTGTTCCAGTTTTATCTATCTCTGCCATACAGGTCTACTGTATCCATTATATATCAGTTTGACCAGGAACACAGGTGACATTCTCACCATTACATTTTCAAATGAGGATATTTTTGATACTATAGACTTAAAGATGTATAACGATGCATCTTTACTGTAGATCTACCTAATCCCATCTAAAGGTAATTTTCTTGTACTTAATCATAACAATGGTATAATAGGTAACCTAAAAATTATCAGCATGACCTATCCTATCAGCATGTTCTCAGAAATTCAGGTATCAATTTAGGTTACATTCTACCACGACCTACCAGCTCTAATTGTGTTCTCTTCAATCATCTTTTGGTAACTGTATCGTTTTTTATTCCAACTTTTCAAACAAACTGTAGCTTGCATTAGCTAGAGAACTTGCACTCTGATATGTGCTCTCTGATTTTGTAAAAAAAGTCCACTTAAAAATCCGTGATGCTTTTTCAACGACACTTTGGGTTAAAATTTTTTGAAAGCACTGTTCTATAACGCTGCGCACGCCTAAGTTTGTTGATTCTGATTCTGTCAAAACATTGGAACAGCAGCGATACAGCAACAAAGTACTAGTATATTTATAAAGCAAGACAAATGATGAGTCATTCGGTTATTCATATTCCATAAATTGGACGGCAACAAGAATTTTAAATTTTTTGTATTTTTTTTTCCGAATCATGTGAGTTTGGCTCCTATCTGAACTCTCCGAGGTTCACGGGCTTAGCACCGAACTATTACAAAGTATTTTTTTGGGGTTGGCTCAAAATGAAACGATTGCGGTATGTCGTATTTGTGCGGGAAATGTTAAGCACACATCTTTACAGTGAAATAGTTCTTAGTTTTTCGGTTCAAAATATTTTATCATTATAGTAATAATTATATGATACCCAATTGAAATTTTCATATCAACCACTCATTCTTTGTCATCTCATTTCCTTCCAAAACTAATAAATGCACTTTTTCAGGTTCAGCACTATATTCTGGTGGTACAGGCTCAAGACGCAGGTCATCCAGCTCTATCAAGCACCCTAACCGTGTATTGCAACGTCCTAGATCTCAATGACAACGCTCCACTATTTGATCCGATGTCCTACAGCAACGAAATTTTCGAAAATGTTACAATTGGCACGTCTGTTGTGACAGTTAGCGCTACGGATTTGGATTCAGGTGAGGATTTTCGAAGTGTTCTTTGCCTTCGTCAAAAATAGTTCAAAAGATGACATCTCTTTCAAATCTGTAATATTAACGTAGCCATTGATATGTTCTAGTGAACCATCTCGGAGCTTTCGGTTGTTTTGTAGAGCGAGACCTAATTCATTTCCAACCGGTTGATATTAGAACTCAAAAGGCAACTATTGAAAGAAATAAAGTACGGTAAATTCTACAAAAAATTCCAACGCCTATACTGTTTGTCCCAATTTAAAGAACCAGTGCAAATCTTTCATCATCTTTTGGTGATGCTAACTTGGTTAAAGAAAAGCTTGTCGCGTGTCTGGCCAGAAGTCGGAATGTACGCCAAAATTAAATTAAAAAGCCAAATAATTCGTCAGCGACTGCTATCAGGTAATCACATCAAATACTGACATCCTACTGCCATCGACCTCTGGTGGTCAGGGTGGGTACTAAAAATTTCAGGTGACACGAGCATGTCACTTCTGTGCTTCTATGGGCTTTGTATTTTTTGACAAAACTGCGAAGACGATTATTGCACCATCTGTCAACATGTATGGAAAGTTGGGTCAATCTCATTTTTTGCGTCGAAAGTTTTTGAAAAAACAAAAGCGAATACATAAAGACATCAGGCGTTCAATGCATTTTGTTCCAGTTTTATCTATCTCTGCCATATATCAGTTTGACCAGGAACACAGGCGACATTCTCACGATTACATTTTCAAATGAGGATTTTTTTGATACTATAGATTTAAAGATGTATAAAGATGCATCTTTACTGTAGAGAACTTGCACTCTGATATGTGCTCTCTGATTTTGTAAAAAAAGTCCAGTTGAAAATCCGTGATTGCTTTTTCAACGACACTTTGGGTTAGTGGTTTCATTAGCTGAGCTAGTAGTAGTTTTAGGTAGTTGGGGCTTCTGTTACCAACCTGCAATACTATATTTTAGTAAGGTGTTACCCGTACTAGTAATTGAATACAAACTAAACTTCTCTGAAGAGGTGAAATACTTTGGTACTATCCTCGACAGGAAGCTAACATGGAACTCTCACCTACAGATTAGAGCAAAAAGAGTATCAGTATGTGGCTTATGAGCAATATCGGAGGACAGTGGAACGCGCATGGGGTCTGTCACCCTGTGTGGTCACCTGGATATACACTGCAATAATAAGACCTACGTTAACGTATGGAGCCATTGCATGGGGACCGAAAGTTCTACAAGCAACGGCCATTCAGAAATTATATCAAATACAGCGAATGGCTAGTTTAAACATCACAGAAGTCATGAAAACAACACCAACCGCGGCAATGGAATTAATTACGGGTCTGACCCCTCTGGACCTGTACGTTAAGGAGGTTGCGTTAATGGCCATGGTACGATTGAGTACGATTTCTGATCGGCCACTGTCAACTAAGGAAACACCTCCACAATATGGGACTAGTGGACACACCTCTACGCGGGATATGTGAACAGAAAGATAGGACTGTCAGGCATTTCCTATGCAAGTGCCCGGAGTTATCGTCAATAAGAGAGTGTGTGTTCGACAAGTTTTGACCTACACCTTCCTGAAAAGGATAGGATGGACTATGACCTAGGAAATCATCTCCTCGGGGGAATGTACAATGTGTTACATCTGGCCTAAGTGCTGTGGGCTTACACTCACCCTCCCTACTCTACAGATACTATGAAATCAATCTGTAAGTATTTACTTGACTACTTCAGCAATTGATCTTTTATGTAGGATGTTTTCATTTTAAATAATAAATGCCACATTATGTTCACCGAAGAAATGGAGATGTGAAACAGCGTGATCAGCATCTGCCCATCTGACGATACTTCCTCACCTTTATCTTCCAGAAGGAATTTACAAACTCTGAAATATGGAAGAGGAAGCTCTCCGGTCTCACCCATACCAGAAAACTATTCAATCCCGAGTTCGAGGAAGAATCCCGCGCATTCCACACAGTTACGATAATGATTCCCTCTTTTTGGCGTAACAAGACGCTGCTCGCCTATAACCTCGACAATTTCTCGTTAAAATAGTAAAACCGTAAAATCGATTGAGCCAACTAGATGTCTGATAGATCGCTCGCTGTTCGTGATGGACCGAAGGGTCTCAATCAATGAGTGATTGATGGCCTCGCGGACGCCACTGGTTTATAGACCGGGTGTTCAGGAGTCGCTTGTAAAATCGCCTTATATGATCCGTGAGTGATTACCGGGAAATCTTCGTAGGCCATTGACGAGCTTTCGCCATTTCCAGAAGAGACAAAACGTCAGATTATCGGAATGGTTGCAACTCACTCACTGCAAATACCGATGGTTATTATCTGATCAAAGATCAAGAATAATGCTCTGAAAATTGTTTCGAATAGCCTTCCCCACTTCGTACTAACTGTTGAGATAACTACATGGCATAACGAAATTTTTTTTATTATTTTTATTTTTATCGTTACTTTTCGAATTGTACCATTTTAGCTTCATCTTCAATCCAAAAGAAAGCATGGATTTAGTGAGACGTCGTATACGGAACTGACAAAAAACAACCTTCCCACGTCGGTTTGTTGCAAAACCAAGCTTCGACATCGACCGCCGAATGAGAAATCACTTATTGACTTCCTCAACTTTCACGTAAGCAGGCAACTAGAGAAAACCACAGCACAAAAATTAAGTATTTTTGATCTAGAACCTAACTATGATGTTTCGGCTTACTTGAGGTCTGTCAATAAATGATCCGTAACGTAACAGCAAAAACGTTACGTTACGGCTAGTAGACACAGAGTACTGTTGCATTTTATCCTTACCACTTTGACTGTTGCATGCGGCGTTGTTTTGTACCTCGTTCGGTTGGAATCATTTATACGGGAGCGAACTTTGTCATCTCACAACCAACCGTACATGTACGGTGTTGGTACGGTCAATTACCACGCTTACAAGTCGAACTACCATTGTATGCGAGGTTATATCGTACCTCGTTTTGGAATTATTGATGCTTTCAATACTCAAAATTCTTCCGATAACGAATAGTGTCATCTCGAAACGAGACAAACCTGTTCGATGTTATGTTATGGGCCATTGACTCAAATGGAATATGGATAAGCGCCACGCGATTGTTTTTTTGGTTCTAGTTTCATCTATTTGCCTTGACTTGTGATGCACTGTTTGGAACCTTTGGTTTAGTAATGAATATTATTGGGGTTTTGTCCTAACACCAAACCATTATTTTTAACACCTCGTCACGTGTTTCGAGCACCAAGTGATCATCTTCAAGAGAAAGGTTAAACTTGAAATTAAAGTTTCAGAGAAAGACGGAGCAATACGTGGTATGAAATTTCCGGTCATATGTTTTTCTCAAAGCTCATAAAACTATTACCTTAAGAACGACAGCAATTTCAATACAAAGCTTCACTCCTGTTAGCCGACAGATTCGATTGAACAGAATCTTTGTCAATAAAAAACAAACAGAATGTCGTAGCTCAAATACAAATTTTAACAATCTGTTATCTAAAAATTCGTAAATTACATCGTCATAAGATACAAATTCACGAAAACTTGGGAATAATGAATTGCCTTTTTTAACTTCTGACTGCCAGAATTATTGATATACAGAAAGTTATTTTGCTTCATTGTTAAAGGTGCCTTTTACTTAATATCAAGTGTCACTTGACAATAGTTTTAGATAAAATCACAACCAGGGTGCTAAAAAGTTGATCCGTTATTTTTTCAAACTCCATTGATTATATATGTTATACAATATGGAACACAGCTGAAGATCTATCAACATTACAAAAGTTACGCTACTTACGTCTAGTCAGAAAATAATTGAAAAAGAACCTTTTAAATCATCATATTGGTAGCAGAATATCTGTAGACTTACTTCTGTTAATATTTTTCTGAAGGGCGATTTTCAATATTGAGTGTTCTATTTCGAACCTAATTCAATTGAGGGGGTACCAAATTTACCTCTTATTACACCTTTTCGGATATTTCATTTTTTTTTAAATGTGCAATTTGGTAATCTAAACAAACTCTCAACACTGATATTTCCACCATAATTTTCTTTATTGAATAGCTTGGATTGATACTGGTTTATTAGATTCCTCATAGAAAGATGGATGAACACGATTGTCAAATGAAACTTGAATTATTATTTGTCTCATAATTCATTCTTGTCTGATATTTGTACTGAAAATTCGCTGGGTGTTACCGAATTTTGAAAAATTATTCCATTATTATATTACCCAATCTGTCATGATTGTTTTCATTGTTACAGTTACAGAAAACAACCTCTTGAGAAACTTTGAATTATACAGAAACTTTTCAGTGAATCTTTATATTTTCAAAATATTGAGTAATGGATATTACTGGAGTTTTATCCCAATATCAACAAACCGTTATTTCAACACCTCAACACGTGTTTCGATCACCAAGTGATCATCTTCAAGAGGGCTTGCCAAAGATCTTCTCCGAAAACATATTCTAAAGATTCCTTTACTGATCAGTTTAAAATTATTGTTATTTATTCATGTCTTAGTTATTGAAAAATGTGTTTCTTCATACTAAGATTGTTTCAAGAATCATAATTTTTGGAGTTTCTCAAGGATCAATATAAATAAAATTTTAGCTCTGTTTTTGAGATATCAGACAGTTTATCTATCTATGACTGCAATAAAATCACTATTCAGAAAAGACTTTTTTGGAATTCAAAGACATGAGTTGAACAAAAAACTGACATGATGTATATTAAAAAAAATATTCTACTTCAAAAAAGATCACAAAATTATCAGTTAGTTTTTAAAATGGGATGAAAAATCGACCAGTTTCTGTCGTGGTAGCCAAATGACGTTTTTATGGAATTGTGATCGTTCGACCGATTGTCGAATGCATATTTTTATGCTTCACACCAAACAAAAGACATTCCCAGTACGTGTCGAAAAATGTAAATGTTAATGTGAACGGCAACGGGCAATGTTGTGTTCAGTAAACACCCGGAATTCGTGGAACGAATTCGGCGTTGTCCTCAAATATCACGAAGGCATTGTTTTGGTGAATGTCAAAGATTTACCATATCAATACACCTGGCGAAATGTGAAGTATTGAAAGAAGACACAACTGGCCAATGTCAAGTATTTCCAAACAGTTGAATGCCATTGATGAAGTCATGGGTCTCTTCGATATTGGGAACAGGAAAAAGTCGCAAGGGGTCAAATCTGGTGAATACGGTGGCGTAATTACTTTGTTCAAAAAATTACGAACAAGCAATTATGAGAGGGCAGGTGCTTTATCGTGTAAAGTCAAATGTTTCAAGGGTGATTTGATATAGCTGAAATGATCTAAATTGCAGCGCTTTCATCCAGTACAATGTAGTAGTTCAATACCGTCATTCAAGGATTGCATGAAATTAGATTTTGTGAAGTGAGGTAGATGGAAGTGAATGACACTTGGAAAGAAAAGAAAGGAAACTAGCCGATAATGTCTTCAATTGTTCGAAATCTTCACTTAAGTACATGACACTGCAATTGATACATTTCTAGAGGCACTGCAATGTCCCATACCTCACTCCATTAGACTTCAATAATCTGGAGATATGTTAAGAGATGGGCCTAATGCGAGAAACCAATGACACTATTAGAAAAATAGAATAAGATGATTTGTTCACTATATTACGAGATGAATGCTGTGTGAAAGGTGAGATGAATAGTTAGTGCAGAAAGTCAATGCAAACTACAAAAAATCTATCGTCAAATTGAACATATGCCGGTCAAGTACAAGAAATAATAGATGATACAGAAAAAATACAAAAAATATTTTCTTTTAGATTATCAAAATTTTGAATAACTTCTGGCGGAAGTATCATGAGAAAACAATGTATTTTTGTATCTCTTTGAAATATCGAGGCTTTACTCTCAATTTACGCAACACTTGAAATGGGTGCTTGTTACTTGTTGTCCCAGCACTGAATGAAAAAAATGTATTGGTTTGATTTAACAACTTCTTCATAATTTCCTCAAGAATTAGATACATTTCCGATGAAAATCAAGTAGTCAAACCCTACTTTTTCTACAAACTCTTAGCATGGAATTTTCTGGCACGGCTTCTCGAAGAGTGTTGTAGAGACAAAAATCTTGCCTTTAGCTAATTTATTTAAAATTTCGAAACATACGGTCAGAATGTTCTTCACGCGCATTGTGTTTTATGATTTGTCATTAACGACAGCGATCTCTGTTGAAAATCGATTTATTTTACGATATGAAACTGATTAGCAATCTTCAGAAATATTACGAATATTTTTGAAATTAGTCACCGCAGAATTTGATTTCGAATTTTCGAATAGATATTTTCTCACTTCATTTCGTTTCACAACAGAATGAATTTTATTTGAATAATAACCTGCCAACTTGGGTAAGATTAGAAAAAAATTATTGTAGGTAAGGGTAAACAAATGATTTAAATAAATCTGCCACAGAGGCGATACCTTAATCAACTCAAAAGAATTGAGGAAAAAGTTAATTTTGTATGACAAGCAATACTTAGTAGTAACAATTAATAATTCTTTCATAAACTACACCTCACAATTTAATCTCTATAAATTTCATTTGAAAAATATATCACGACATGTTTCGCTAACACAATAGCTTTGTCAACAGTGTTTTGAATATTACAAGTTGCTTCTTACACTAATATTTATATACTACAGGTAACCATAATTGAGACTACCTCCAACAAATTACCTAAACCTCAACCTGAAGTACCTCTTCAATTATAATCAATTATAAGCATATTACCTCATTTCTACATCAATAATAATTCTTTCTTGGTTTTTCTGAAAAAACAAGTTCAATAATTGTGATCTATTCAAATCTAGTTGGTCATTCATTGGAATGTTTGAATTTTTGAGTTTATTACTTTCCATTGCTTCCAAACGATACAGTTCCAATGTGTTTCTTCTAAAAGGTGATTTGAATATGTTGAACTTGTTTTCCTTTTTACATAGCTCATATGATGTTCCTGGATTCGATTCCTAAATGTTCTGCCAGTTTGACCAATATGTACCTTATAGGACACATTCCACACTTTAATTTATATATCCCTGATGTTTTGTCTTTGTTATTTATATGCAATGCATTTTATACACTTTCGATTTGTAGAAATTCAAAAAAAATTATAAATAGTCATATTCGACTATTATATTCAGTTTGGATTAGTAGTACCTATTTGTTTTCCATATATACTTCCGATCCGAGCTCGTTGTTGAAAATCCTGCATGTCAGGCTTTCCACCCTTTACAAGCAATAAATCTTCTGTAAATATCACCCTGTAATCTTCTTGGCATCTCTTTGTATCACTCTATGGGAAATGCGCGGCGACATCAGTGAGATTCCGAATAAATCAAGAAGTAAAAAGACGTAAAAATCTTTATGGTGCGTGTTACCTTCCACAAAAAGTCCCTGCATCAGTAAAATCCAAGAAATTGGAAATGAATTTTTATGGCACCTGTTAAAAAGAAATTATCCATATCTGTTATTATGCAAGGCAACTTTACGACCAATTCGATTCTGGATTTTTATGGGAGACATAAAAGAAGATAACCGGGTCCTAATTTCTTTCTGATGAACGCACCCATCTTCAAAAATTCCTTTTAAGTCTGAATCTTCTTGCATATTTGAACAATATATGTAGCAGTAGGATTAAAACTCCAAAACTTATGTTACAATTGCAACATTCACTGACAACAGTCACTTTTAGTTCCACTAGCAAAAGACAAATATCTTCTATAGGCATGTCTCATACATTACATCGTTCAAGAACATGTGTATCAGTTTTCTTCACAATAACCCAAAATATTTTAAGGATTTTTAGGAATATACTGTGAAATGCAAGGACTTATGAAGCAAATGGGCAAATACGAAGCATTTTTATAGGGAATTCTCATACGAGAAAACCTTAATTGTCATTTTTTTTTTCAAGAGCCCTAGCATGAAACTACGCAAGTCATGACGAAAATAATGTTAGTTACTATTTTTTTCTGTGGCAAAAAAAAATTGAAAATGACCTCCTTAGCACAATCCAAAATTGAAATAATAATGAAAAACAAATAAGGAGTTAAATTTTTTTCAAAACTAAGTACTTCAAACTGGTCAAACCTGTACAGCCTTTTATAAGTATATGAATAAGGTGAGCCGGAAAGTGGAAAGGGTTAATTTCAATAGGGGTAATAATTAAGTGGTGACTTTCACTTTGTTATCACCGAAAAAAATTAGGATCAACATTATTTGATGCTAGGGATTTTTTCAAGAACTTCGAAAAAGTTTCTACGAGATTCTCTAGAAAAATGCATTGTTTTTTTATTACTTCACATTTAAACTTTCCATTTTGATGGTCGCCCTGTAAGAACCAACCTTCTACAAACCGGTACTTCATTTGTATTGGGTCTGTAAACTGCATTATTGACACTTTCACTGAAAAACAAGTAGAAAATTGACGACCATAAAAAAAATTAGTCAACACATCTATTTCTGGACTCATTTTCATTGAAACAATTTTCAACCTTGAGAAGGGGTGACATCCACCTTCAGGTTAAAAGCAACCCCCTACATGGTCAAATCTGACGTAAATAGAACCTCAAATCAAATGTTTGTGCAAATCGGAGATGCTTCGTAAAATTATACAGCATCGCAATATTTTATCATCAACGATTTTATTAATATTATTGACCAACTCCCACCTTGATTTTCAACCGATTCCAATGTATATTTTTTGTACACGGACATACCTCAGCTGGTATGCCTACGGGCAGTACTCAAAGATTGAGAAATCTTTGGTGTGTATCATGAATAACAGTGGACTAAAAGAGGATCTTTGAAGGACACCAAAGTCAAGCATTACGAAAGATTATTTTTTAGCAGGAATTCAAGACAAACTTATCGAAGCACTTGGTGGGTCTCAAACATTGATTATAGAATATGGGGAGATAGCTTGAATTATTACCAAAACCGTATTGAATTGTGTTGGGAATTTTTCCAAAAACTTAACCAGCGCCCATATAAGTATAATTTCCTTGAATAACACGCCTCTTTGGTATATTTCAAGTCGAAACCTTTGATACTAATAGTTTCCTTCATGAACATGCTTGAAGCGTCAGATATCCTATATATGTTGATGTATTAGACCAAGAAAGGTTTATTTTTTGTCAGATTAGTGAAAAAATATCCAACTGGGGGTTACAAGAAGGATAGTTCGTCTATCACCCGTTTCTCAAAACTGGAATGAATTTGGCTTCAAATTGTTTTTTGTTACAGGAAAAAATCGCGAAATACTGTATTCGATTACATCCGGTGACGAAAACGACGACTTCGAAATTTTCCAAAATGGTTCCATACTAACAAAAAATCAGCTTGACAGAGAAACGCAAGGGATCTACAATTTGGTGGTCACTGCTACAGACCAAGCCATCGCACCAGAGAAAAGACTATCTTCCACTGTGCAGGTGAGATATCAATTTTGAAGATAATTATTAGCAATATCAGCAATATTTGATACTAATGATATCATCAGTATTTCGAACTGAAAGGGATATTTTCAGGGGTTTAAACAGCTTTTTGGCTTTCAACTTCTTTATCTTTATTGAAAAAAAGTGGAAATATTCCGAAGGGAGGAATAAAGCAAGTAAGTTCAAAACAGACTCTACTCAAAAAATAATTTCTCGTAACAATATAGTCCCTTCAGTTTGAATAAGATTCAAATTGTTTCTGGTAGCAAAAAGTTGTAATGTAAAAAAGTGACCCGTCTTGTAATATTATTAAAAACGATGATAAAGAGATAGTACAGGTGTCTTGTTCTGAAACAAAGTAAATTATTGAGAATGTGAGTGAAATTTCATATCGATACTGTCTCGTATATTAGGTATATTGTGTAGCGTTCTTATGATAATATCTGTTTAAGTAACATATATAATTCAATGTTCATATCAAAGACAACAACTTCGAAAGTATTTTTTTTTCGTGTAGTTCAATGTTCATGTGAAAGTAGTTGTTTCAGAGGGACTTTTTCTTCCAGAAAAACTTTTATGTAGTATGACTTTTGTACATTATTTTGAACTTGAGCTATCTTGCTTCCTTGGCAAAATGTCCACTTTTTTGTATAAAGATGGATAGGCAGAAAGTCAAAAATGTTTTTACCCAATACAATTCTCCTTTTCTTCAGTATCCCAATTTGTTGTTCTACGATATGAAGCCTGTTCATTTGGAATTTAATTGTCAATTGGGGATCTAGGCTACTAACTAATTTTTACTATATGTCATTTGTCAAAAATGTGTTTTCTGTGTTAAAAATAGAGTTTCTTGACACAGAAAACAGTTTGTCGGTATATTTTCTACTAAATCTGTCTATCAAAATGTCTATATGGGCGTTCCCCGAGTCTCTGTTTTGGAGCCATTTATATTTTTGGTGAGATTTGTCAAAGCTGCATACAGGAATAGAGTCGTATTTCGTGTAAATAATTTATTTGTGAATTGCAAAGCGCTTTCGGCTTTTATGCCATCATCAGTGCGATACCTGCAAGTAACTAATAGTCGTGAAATTTGTTTAAAGTTGAACTTCAAGTTCTTTTTTGAATTACTTACTCGTCAAGTATATCCAAGAGGATCTATAGAATCATAAGGTTTTGTACTTTGATTCTACAGGGTCTTCTTGAATATACTCGACGAGTAAGTAATTCAAAAAAAAATTTAAAGTTCAATAACAAATTACACGGCTATTACTTACTTGCAGGTATCGCACTGATGATGGCGTAAGAGCCGAAAGCGATTTGCTATTTACAAATGAATTATTTACACGGAATACGACTCTATTCCTGATTAATTATATTTTCATTCTATAGGTACGAATGGTGGAAATACCGAATCTTCGACCAGATTTATCAAATATGAGGGTGATACCAATATACTTGTCTCTGAGAAATGTGAAAATGCCTTAAAACAAAAGTGTATAACTGCTGTTGGTAACCTCATTTCATGGTGTGATCAGAATTCTCTTTATTTCAATGGTAATAAGAGAAATATTATTCGATTTCACAACTATCAAAAACAATGTGAAACTTTAACAATAAAAACTGATGATATCTCAATCGAGCTTACTTTATAAGTTAAATTTCTAGGAATTACTATGTAGATGTTGGTTTAAACTGGAAAGAATATTGTACCAAATTGATTTCAAAATTGAATTCATTATAGTTTATTTTCTGAAATCTCAAGAACATTTTGTTACGTGAACAATTATTCGTTTTATATCGTGCTGAAGTAGTCTCCTGATTACGATATGGGTTATGTTTCTGGATTGTTTCTACTCGAATACCTGACGTATTTATTGTACAAAAATGTATTTCAAGGATTATTTGCGATACCTCAAGCAAATCTTCCTGTAGACCGATTTTTTAAGAATCAAAAATTTCAACAACTGTTTTGCCTGTATCTGTCTTATCCGAATAACTTTTGTGGTTTTTTGCAACGAACTAGAAGGAAATATAAGGATATATCTAAAAAAAAATCATCTCTCGCGTGATTGCATCAGTGAATGGTGTAAAACATTATTGTACCAGCAATTTGTCGGAAAATTCCAGTTTTGAATATAATTTTCGTTCAATGCAAAGTTGGGTAAAATGTTATAGTGTGTTTTAACAATTCATATGCAAACTTGGATTTTTTAATAGAGCATTGCCTCAATATGTCAAAAGAGTTACACATTTTAGAGGCTACATGTCTCTGTTTCTTTTTTTTTTCTTGATATATTTCCTCTAAATGAGCTCAAACTACAAAAGATATATGTCACCTTTTTCCTTCTATTGCCCCCGTGATCGAACCGCCTCTGATCTGCCGGACAACTATTCGTGTTCTCCTTCAGTATTCCATGATTTATAGCCACTAATAATATACATAATATTTAAGATGAATTCAGTGTAGGCGAAATAAGTTGGAGAAATTATGGTAGTCCGTATGGTAAGTAAGGTGTTGAAACAATTCTCTTTTGATTTAATGGAAGTCTTGAGGCGATCATTAGCGTTTGCTTTTCGAATGTAATCATTGATATGTCCAGAGTTTTTTTTTTGTTTGTTAGGAGTCGTATTTCCATAAAATGTTGAAAATGTATGGAAATCGTCTTCTGTTTTCATCTCTACTCTTCTTGAATATTACTGGAGTTTTCTCCCAACACCAAACCGTTATTTTTACACCTCGACACGTGTTTCGATCACCAAGTGATCATCTTCAAGAGGATGATTTTGATCTTCCTCTTGAAGATGATCACTTGGTGATCAAAACACGTGTCAAAGTGTTAAAATAGCGATTTGGTGCTGGGAAAAAACTCCAGTAATATTAATTATGACACCAAAGATTCCAAACAGGTAATGCACTGTTTGGTAATGCACTACTCTTCATGTTTTGGTCGATCGTCAAAGATATTTCCAATTCAGTTACAAGATACACTGAGTATATCTTCAAAGAATTGTTTCGTAACCATTTCAAATTGTTTGGACTTGGAAAAAGAAATTTCCGAAACGTTAATGTCATTTAACCAATATTTGAAAGAGCGGAATATAGTCTCCTTATCTGCTCAAGTCACTGCTTGTCAGCAAAGACTGTATGTAGGTGTAAATGTATTTGTATGTATGTGAATGTATTCAAAAAAACAATAAGGCAATAGGAAATTTACATGAAAAGATTATCAACACTATAAAAGCATTATAGGAGCCTTTGAGTTAATTTCTTTTTAGCAAATCTTGGAAATCGTGTGTTTGTTTTATCGATGTGCATCAAATTTTCGGAAAAAAGTATCTTTATTTCAACGTACTCGTATATAGATACACATCTTGAGAATATAAAGACTAGGAAGATTTGAAATATCAAACGTTCTATAAGTTTTCCCGACTGATTTCTTTCAATACTCCTGAGAATTAATTTCTCTGCTTTCTGAGCATACAGCTCTGAACCGATTATCTTGTTTGAACTGAAATTATACTGTTTGGTATATATTTTTTCTAGAAACGATGAAACCAAATTGACCAAAACTGTTTAATGCTACACTTATGCCATTAGTTTATTTTGTATTCATACAGTCGAATATTCGATTCAAGCGGCAAAATCTACTTACTGTATAGTAAATTGAATACGCCATTGAAACACGTGTTTGAAACACATGTCACTGCTGAGTGAAAATCTCACAATAAATTATCACTCTGATACCAAAGAAATTCTGATAAAATAACTGAAAAAGACTCATTTCGATCAAAAAAGAGTAACTTGAAGTCACTTACGTAGTCATCTGTGATATTTTCATTATATTATGCATTTTATTGTAAAATATTTGCAACTTTACTTCTTCAACTTCTACAGTATCAAAATAAATACCTAACATGAAGTGACCTTTTATATTAGTTATCCAAATATATTAAACAGTTGCATGTTGTGAAAGAACGCTTCTGCATTGTAAGTAAAGACACGCCCGAAGAAGCCATTGTATGGCGAAACACATGTTGCGTTTTTGTAAAATCGTTTAGTGAAAATCTCACAATAAAGTGTTTTTTGAATACGTTAGCTATGAATTTTCATCAATTATCGGCCAATTCCATCATACAGGGCCTTCCAACGAAAACTGGACCCCCCTGTAAGTCGAAACGAACGTGTAATCGAAAATTTCAAAGAAGACGTCAATTTTTATTTCCAGGGGGACTAATTCTGATATTAATACATTAGTAGTAAACGTTTTGAAATGGACGACAGTGTAAGTTTTTTCTGCACTGATAGTTTTTGTTGAATCTATTTGTCGCAGAACAAAAAGTAGATAGTTGACCACTGTCACTTCTTCACAAATTATTATTCAGCCATCCTTGTTCACTGTGTTCCAACATGGTTTTTTCTACTGAAAAAAGAATAGAAATTGTTGCAACCTATTATCGAAATAATGAATGTGCTAAAGCTGCTGCAAGAATTTATGATACGAATCATCCAAACCACAACGTGAGCCATCAATACGTTAAACAGTTAATGGATAAGTTTCGAACTTCAGGTTCTGTTCACAACAGAAAACATGAAGTATCCCGTCCTGTCAGAAATGACGGAGTTGAAGTTGCAGTTTTAGGACATGTACAAATGGATAATCGGCAATCTATCAGACAAGTAGATAATCAGCTACTAGTGTTTTTCGGATTTAGAAAGCCTACAAATTCCATCCTTTGAAAATAAGGCTAGCTCAGGAATTGAACGAAGATGATTCTGATCGTCGAATTCAGTTTTGTGAGGTGTTCAGCGAGAAATTGGCCAATAACCCAAACCTATTATACAATACATGTTTTTCAGACGAATGTTTTTTCATGTTGAATGGTGAAGTGAATAGACATAATTGTCGTTACTGGAGCGACGTGAATCCTCATTTGGTGATGGAAACACATTCACAAACTCCACAAAAATTGAATGTCTGGGCCGGCATTCATATTGT